TTTTTTTAACATACAAATAGTTTAAATATCTATATTTAACATATGAATATCTTCAACATATAAATAGTTTAATTATCCATGAAAATATAACTTTCAAAAGCAAAAAAGTAAAAAGGTTTTATAATTTGAAAATGCGGCGATTTTCACCAAACAAATAAGAATGACTTAATCAACAGCATCTTTAACTAATAGTATTATTAATAGTTATTTACAAATGTGGTCTTAATGTTTTGTTAAAAACCATATTAAGTTTATTTAAAGACTTTTTGGTAACCAATAATATGATGATATCTACTTGTGTAAATTTTGAGAGGTATTAAATTAAAATATAAATATGAAATTTGTTTGTAGGAAAATGTTGAAAAAACCACCTTATTCAATTTGGGTGTAAATTTTATATAATCATAACCTTTGAATTTTGAATTTTAAAACCTCTCGACTTAAATCTAGTGTACGAAAATAAAAAATAAAAGTTACTAATTTGTTGACCTCACATTTGGGGGTAGAGATGGGTAGATGGGGGTAGAAATGTTTTACGATATTTTTTGTTCCGAGCACTAATCATTACAAGTATTATTTTTTAATCTACGTATAAATCATTGCTTAGTAGAGTATTAAAGCTATTTTTAGGGTAGTAGGGTATTTAGGCTATTTTTAGAGCCAACATAAATTTTGTTTATTTTAAATAGATTGCAATCCTTAAGATATTTCATTTTCAAATTGGCTTCAACCACCTCTATAGTTCCAAATATATGGATGTTTTAATATTTTCAATACTGGGACTTTTAAAGAAATATTTACTTAAAGTATCGCTTTATTTTTTAGCACCGAAAATTAAAGATTTTTTTTTTTTTTTTTGTGGGTAAAATTAATATGCATTAACAAATTTTTCGTAAAATTCATTTAAAAATATGGTCATGAATCTATATTATTCCAACAATTTATTAATATATTTTTTTGCGGTGTTTCGCAAACACGGACCTAATGAATTAAGAGTAAAATATATTCTTAAATTTTTGAAGATTTTAAACGTTTTAAACAAAAAAACATTAAATGCTAATTTGAATATGCCTGCCCGATTGTAGCAATATTCAAACTTAATAATATATGCAATCTTTTTCAAATATATATTCAATCTTTTTCAAATATTTATTCAATCTTTTTCAAATATACTCAATCTTTTTCAATTATATTCAATATTCCTGGGGAGAACGCGGCCAAGCGACTGTAATTTGAAATAAACATTTTGTCAACAAAACACGATATAAAGAATTATTTATAGAAAGAACGTGTATATAGCCGAAGTTTCCTTATTAATATATACGAAATGGATAGTTATAGCAAAGTTGCTTCTTTGTTAGAGGAGGCATCTATTCTTTTCGCACAACTCAAAACACAAATGCAAGCAGGCCACAGCCAGAGCCACAACTCACAATAACCTCTGCATTACAAAGAGCCAGATTAATGCTCAATGAAAGTGGTTTATCGGGTTTATTTAGGCGTCTTTAGTCGAAACGATAGATTAAGGTCATCAGCACCATACAGCAGCTAAATAGATAATAGTAAAATAGGCAATCAAAATAAAACAAAAAAATGACAAAAACTTTAGATTTTGCATTAATTTCATCTAAAGAAAAAGATGAAGAACAATTCCTGAAATGGGATTCTGTTATTGCAAATGGAATTTTAATTATTAACGAATCTATTATAGTGAACAAGTAATAAAAGAGAAAATTAAAAAGGCATTGCATGACAAATTTCCTTTATTGAGTTCATATGAATTTGATTTTGTTAAAGTATCACGAAAAAAAATATCAAAGTTTAATAAATGTTCAGATATAAACTACTATTATTCTGTTGCAAAAAATTAGCTAGACAAGGGCTTCTATACTTGCAACTAAAAGAAAGTTACAATGATGTTAGTGTTGAGCCTCCATTACCGTTATTTATAGCAAACAGTTTACAATTAGCTGGTCAAGAAAAAGTTAATGAAATTGGTTTTGAAAAGAATAAAATAGACCCAGCCAACATTGACAGACGGGTACCGTATGGTTTTTGTCTGGGCTTACGGGAACGGGATTTTGACGGTTAAGTGTTTTGGTTTCCATACGAGTCCCATACGGTAATAAAATCACCCATATTTGCTCGTTTGGGCTTTATCTGCTTTTTATAAAAGCCTAAAAATCTGGGGATTTGACGGGTTTCCCATAAGGTTTCCGAAAGGTTTAAACTGATAATTTAAAAAATCATAACAAAACTTACTCGATGGTTGCCATTTATAATTTGTATTGTGCGTGAAATAAGATTAAAAATTTAACTTTTATGCATTATATTTTTTGTATACATTATATTTACATTGTAATTAAAGAGAAATTTTTTTTTTTGATGTATTTTATCACTGTAAAACTCCATTAAAAAGACGTTGTTTTAAATTTTCATTTATTTATTACGATTATAAAAGAATTTTTTTATATTTTTTTTTATAAACAAATTTACAAAGTTTAACATATTTGTTGAACATATGTTCCAGAAACTATTAAACATGTAGTAAATATTCCATTGAAACACTTTGCACTTTTAAAATGATCAAAATATAAAGTTTTGTTTCTGCTAGTGATTGTAATAAATGGTTTGAGTTTAATCAAAATTATGGTTTATTCAGACACATTTAAAAAGAGCAAACAGGCGAATGTTGTGATGGATAAGTTATATTAAGGGAATTAAAAACTTTTAAATCGTTTTTACAGATCCCCTCTTTTCCATTGATTTTTCTATATTTTATGCAAGCATAATGACTGATGTTAACGGAGTTTACCCACCGTCAGGTATAAATATAGATATAATTAGATGTTTAAATGCAAAAAAAAAAATAGCTTTATTGTTATGCATCAACCTCATTTTTTATTCATTGTTATTTTTTGCCTTGATTTAAAATTGTACACTTGCAATATTAACAATAATTTCATAATATACATAATAATAACTTATACTTACAATACCTATACTTGTAAATACTGATAAAATTTTTATTGATATGAACTTTTGCATTCAAACTTAAGTTATAAAACTTTAATTTAACTTGATAATTTTAAAATATATTACAAAAACTAAAAAAAGATAATAGTTATTATATAGATTATAACCATATGCTTATTTATTATAATTGAGTTATAGTAAGTTAAACACGATAAAATGTTAAGTTCCAGGTAATAGGTCTTATATGATATTTATCTTATGTATATTTTGTATTTTGCAGCATGTTCAAGAATATTTCTGCATGGTGTACTCTGACTGTTGACTAATATTTGCATACTAATATGAGTAAAAGTGACTTCAACAACCAGAATGTATTTTTGATAAATATTAGTAATAACAGGTTAGTAAATATAATTATAGTAATAATGGTAATAACTTTTTATTACTAGAATTAGTGAGAGACTTATGTATAATAGAACTGCATTAACTTTGGGAACAGTTATAATGATTTGAGTAAATATTACCGTTGTTTATTACCTCAATTAGAGTAATGTAAAAAAATGTTGTTTTTATCTAAAGAATATTCGGCAAAAGTCAGTATTTCCTATGTATTAAATATTATAAAAAAACATATGTTTAAAAAAAATATAAAATAAAAAAATAAGTATTTGAGTATAAAACAAACACATTTATTATTATAATGTATATACATCACATTAACTATGTTGTTTATCAAGTAGGGGTTGCAGCTGATATTTCAGCTTCAGCTATAAACTCATTAGCTTCAGATTAATGCTGAAGCTGATCAAGTCAATTTAATCAGCTTGATAGCTGATAGTAAAAGAGAATAATACCCCATAAATATTTTATATAAAAACATATAGGAATTTATTTAATGAAAATCTAAAATAGTGACAAAATTTAAACATACATTTAAATTTAAAATAAAATTTGCCAAAAGTTGTTGCTATTTATAAATGTTGCGGTCAGAGCCTAGGCCTAGGACTTACAATATTAGGGGACCCAAATTGGGTTTTTAGAAATTTGTTCAAAAAGTGGTGCCCAAAAGTTTAATTCCATTTTTAATTATTTTAAGGGGACTAACTATCTTTTGTTTAAAAAGAGTACACTTTGCAAGTATTTCATAGGTGAAAAAAAAAACACAAGAAAAAACGGTGAAAACTTTATTTCCTTTTAAAAACATATTTTTTTTCATAGTGGATTTTTTTGCTAAATGAGGATGTTCGTCTAATAATGTTGCCGCATCCGGACATATTAAATTGCATATTAAATTTGACTGTTAAGACGGCAGATAACAATTTTACAGAAAGTTGCAACTTTTTATGCTTTTATTTAATTAAATAAATGGATAAAAAAACTTTGCTTTACATACCACGCATGTGTCAAGACTATCAAGCATGCCGTACATACTGCACATCAAAGATCAGTCTGGGGATTACATACACAAATATTGGAGAGATTTTCACAAATGTAATTTTGACGTTGCTTGAAAAAGAGGTCTGTAGTATCTATCTATCTCTCCAGATAGATAATACGGCCTCTCAATTGTGCTGAAAATAGCAGTTATATGTGCGTGCAAATTTTAAATCACTGTCAAACTTGTGTCTGGTGTTTGCCCTGTCCTCTGACATGCCGGAAACGGCAAGCAATATGCGCGCGTGAAATTCATATCACTGTCAAAATAATTTTAAATATTTAATTAATAAAATTGAAATAAAATAATCTAAAAATATGTTTTAGAAATACAAATGAGTACAAAATTATACAATTGACTATTTTCAAAGTACAGGATTTAAAAAGAGTACGGTTTGTGAAAAAAGAGTACAAAACTCAGTAAATGAGAATAGTTGGTCACCTTAATTATCTACATAATTTTTTGGAAGATTTCAAAGTTCTTGCAAAAGATGGTTTTATCTATGAAAATATTGAGTTTAAAATCAATCTTGCTGTTATCATATATGATGCATCAGCTAGACCATTTGTGAAGTGTATTAAAGGACACAATGTTTATAAATGATGTGAGTGTTGTGCTTAGAAAGGAGAGTGGTGTGGTTAGATTATTCTCACACATATTACAATAATTTTAAGCACTGATTCAGATTTTTTGTCATCAAAAGCATTCTCAACACCTTAGTGGTGTGTTAAATTGAATTAAACTTTGAAATGGTGACAAAGTTTCCTTTAGACATTATGCATCAAGTATGCTAGGGGTAATGCGAAGATTTGTCAACTTATGGTTTAATTGCCCAAATGTTCTAAATTGTCTTAGATTACAGTCAAGACTTTATCTGGCGGATTGTTCCAGATAAGTCATTACATTCCATAAAATTTTTCTAGAAAATCAAGGTCTTAATTAGATATTAAAAATGGAAAGCAACTGATCTTAGGCTATTTATAGTATACACTGGGCCAGTTATTTAAAGGGAATTTCAGTTGTAGTTCTAATTTCATAATGTTTTATTTTGTTGAAAAAATATGTTAATTTTGCTTTTCAGCTACTTATTTTTTTATTTTTTTTTTGTATGTATGTACCAATGTTGCTTGTTGGGCTAGAGCTGGCGTCGAAAGATCCGTATGGGCCCCGTACGGTACTCGTATGTCAATGTTGGCTGGGGAGGAAATTATTAACTTTCCTTGTTTTCATTTCTAGCAAATAGTCTGCAGTTAAGATCAAGAAAAGTTCAATGAAATTTTTTGGGAAACTATGATACACAGGAAATTAAAGAACTTTCATCAGCTTTATTTATAGCAAACAGTTCAGAATTAGTCGGTAAAGAAGAACTTATTGAAATTGATTTTGAAAGCCAAAAATTGAGGAAATAAAAGAAATTCATCTTCAGGATCCAAAAGAAATTGTAAGATTTCTTTAAAAAACAATCTTGAAAGGCAGAGTTCTAAATATCAAAAGCATAGACAAAACTTTTGAAAACGTGTCTCAAAATTCTAAGACAAAATTTATTTGTGTTGATTGACAAAATACTTTGATGTCAATATTTGTAGAACTAGAATCCATCGAGAATTTTTTGATTACATTTGAAGTTGATTTTATGGGAGAACTAGCTAAGGATAATGGTGGTCCAAGAAAAGAGTTGCTACAAGAATGTAATGAAATGATTAAAGAGAGATTATTTTACAGTGGTTTTGGAGAAACCACTATCAAATAATTTTTTGTTGAGGAGTATTACTTTGTAGGTTTGTTGATTGATATATCACTATTTCAAGGAGGACAGCTACATATAGTATATTATTTAGGTTGCTAGTGGTAAAAGAGAGTGTGTTTCATTGGCAAATATTCTTTTTTTTGTTACTGGTGCTTCAGAAGAACCTCCACTTGGGTTTGCATTGCATTCGTCTATCGAATTTATTTCTACTATTGAAGCTGATGAAAAAGTAAAAAGCCTCAAATTTATATAAATAGTTTTGATTTATTTTATTTAACTTGGTCTATTTTAATTTGATTTACATTTACACTGTAAAATATTCATATTCTTAATGTAACGTATGCAGGTTTATCTTTTATGAAAATTTGTGGATTAATTTTTTTGTGATTTATTCTAATTTATTTATAATTTATGATCTTTTATGGTTTCCTATAAACAACACTTTTATAAGAGCATCTAAAGTTAAAAGCATCAGACTTTTTTTGTCTGAAGTGTAAACTTTTGCATCACTTTCTAATTAAGCAAAATAATAAATTTATTTTGAATCTATAATAATCAATCAAGTTAGTTTTTGAAGTTTATTGATCAATAACTCTTTTGTAACTCGAGCTCAAAAAAAAGAGTGACTTAGGCCCACTTCATGCAACAACATCACTCACATCAAACACTAGTTAAAAATGTCTTATGACTGAATTTTAATATAATTTGAATTTAAATTATTATTATTTTTTTTATTCTTATATTTGCCGTACATATGACAACTACAAGTTTTGCAAGTTAAAGGTGTAATATTTACAAGTCTCGTGAGTCAAAATATATAGTGAAATTTATAATTAAATAGTACGGACCGGACATCGAGAAAATCGTTATGATCTTATCACGAAGCTCTTACAATGTGTTTGATATATATTATGATTATGTTAAATATAATTAAATATATATTATGATTATGATATATATTATGATTATGTTAAATATAGTTAAATATTATGATTATGTTAAATATTAAGTACAACTATATTTTTATAGTCTTTAAATTAAATTAAGCTCATAATAAAAAATAAACTCAAAATAAGCTCAGTATAAAAAATTAAACATAACAAGCAGCATAATAACTAAAATTGATAAGGAAAAACAAGTGTTTTTTTTTTTGTGTGTAATAAACAATTTTTGATATATTGTTTGAGAAAGGTAAGAGTCATTTAGATAATACACATAAAAGAGTCAGTTCACGTTGTATTTTATAAAATACAAAGTGAACTGACTCGTTATTTATAAAAAAGTTATTTAAAAAATGGTTTGGTACTTGACCTAATTTAAATTTTAGGATAAACAATATATTTTGGTAAATGTTAATTTGATAAATATTAAGCACATTCATTTCTTTAAATATGGGATCAGCGTGTGTAAATTTGTCTTTATTGTAGATTAGTTTTAAACCATGTTTCTGACGTCGATATAAAGTTTTCAGTTTGGTTATATGCGTACTCGCCCAAGCTACATTCGCATATATGAGGTAGCTATGTATAAAAGAGAAATATATAGTTTTCAAGTTACTTTGCGACAACATAGGTTTAGCTTTATAAAGTAGATCTATGTTTTTTGATATTTTAGTGTTTAAAGCATTTATGTGAGCTTTCCAAGATAAATTTTCATCAATTATAACTCCTAAAAATTTAGTTTCGTGAGTTCTCTCGATTACTATATTTTCTATTTTTAGAGAGGGTAGAATATTTGGTAGTCAGTTTCTTTGTTGGTTTGAATGAAATAAAGTGTATTTTGTTTTTTCTATGTTTAGGGATAACTTATTTGTTTAAAACCATATATTTAATTTTTGGAGTTCTATGTTTACATTATCATACAGATCCTTGATGTTTGTCGAAGAGTAAAATAAATTTTTATCGTCTACAAATATTATAAATTCAAGTTTGCTAGAAATTTTCGGAAGGTCGTTTATATAGAATAGAAACAAAAGAGGGGCATAAATCAAACCTTCGGGAACACCGCAAGTTAATTTTAATAATTTAGTGTGGTAATTATTTTCTGTAATAACACACTGTTGTTTGTTATATAGGTAACTTTTAAACCACTGCAGTGTATGGTTTTTTAATCCGTATTTTTCCATCTTTTTTAGTAGGATTTCATGATCTATTGTTTCGATCGCTTTTGACAAGTCTACAAAGACTCCTAATACAAATTTCTTTTCGTAGACTGAATCACTAATCCTATTAATGAGATCTACGATAACATACTCTGTTGAGTGCTGAGTTTGAAAACCATATTGGTTTTCATTCAGGATTTTTTTTGTGGTTAAGTATTTATATAAACGATTGTAGATTATTCGTTCTAGTAGTTTTGAAAATACGGGAAGGATTGATATTGGTCTTTAATTATTTAAGGAGGATGTATCTCCGGATTTATAGATGGGAATAATTTTAGCTATTTTTAAATAGTCGGGTACAATTCCTGTCATTATTGAAGAGTTAAATATTTGAAAATTGGGTTTACTTATTTCTGGAAATACATTCAAAATATTGGCTGGGGTATTGTCGATACCTGGATCTTTGTTAATTTTTTAATTGCTGTTTTAAGTTCTTCGTATTCTAGTTCTTTAAAAACTAGAGAGCAACGAGAGTCCTCGATGTAATTCTCAAATGAATTGTTTGTTGGTTGAATTTTAGAGGCGAGTTTGGAACTTGCAAAGTATGTGTTAAATTTTTCAGAGATAATTTTTTTATTATTAAACTCTCACTTATGAGAACTTTTGGAGGTAGTTGGTTCGAGTTTATTTTATTTTTACCAATTATTTCTTTTATAATTTCCCAGATTTTTTTATTATCTCTTTTAAATTTTTGGATTTGCTTTGAAAAGTATAGTTTTTTGGATTTTAATTTTATTTTTTCAAATAGATTTTTATATTGTTTATACTTAGACAAGTTAATATCGTTTTCTTTTTTTTAGATATTTTATGTAGAGTTTTTGTTTTTGTTTTGACAATTTTCTTATTCCTTTGGTAATCCATGGAATGGTTAGGTATTTTGCTTTAACTTCTTTTTCGACCTTTAGAAAATGTTTATTGTAGAAATTTAGGAAAATATCTTATTGTAAGCGGAGTTATAGTATCTCCATCGAGCGGTCTATAACAAGAGGATATTAAGAGATTTTTTGTAGCATTATTAATGACTTCAACTGTAAAGACCTCACCATTTGAATCAGAAATAAAAAGATCATTTCCAATTTTTGTGTTAAAGTCATAATGGATGTAGGTTATTATTCCAGCTCCTCTTTTGTTAGCTTTTGTTTCATAAGAAATAAGATTATAATTAGGGATTAGGAGGTTTGAATTTGTATAAGAATTTTCGTCAGAACACCAAGTTTCGGTAACACAAATCATGCTAAAGGAATATTTGCATTCAATAAGGAAAATTTTTAACTTATCGATATTTGTATTTAAGCTCCTGATGTTTATGTGTATTACCTTAAACTCGTCTATATTGTTATGAAGTTCAGCTTTAAAAGTTTTAGTATCAAAGCAGTGCCGGCCTTCAGGGTTAAGGTTAGGGTTAGGGTTTACCCTGACCCTGACACTGACCCTAACCCTAGCCCTAACCCCTGACCCTAACCCTAAGCCTAACCCTAACCCAGACCCTGAGGGGGGGGGGTGAGGTTAAGCGCTGCCCAAGGGCGCCAGGAAACTGGGGCGCCAAACGTTGTATGCAAACTTTAACAATACAATAAATAGAAAAAATAAGTCAACCTAAGTTTTTTCGATTTCGATTTTCGATTTTTTGTTATATTTTCGAATGTTTTTTTTTTTTATAAAAATAATTTCTTTAAATAATTTCTTTATTGTATTATTACACTGTTAAAAATTCTTTATGCAAAATTAATAATTTGATTAAAAGTGTTTCAATCATAGCATATATTTTGTTACTTAAATTCATTTTTTTAATTGTATTTTTCTCGGCGCCAATTATTTTGCGTTCTATTTATTTAAAGTTTAAATTTTAAATATTATTTTCGGTACGACTTGCTGTCAGCAGCAATCAATGGAGAGTACTCATAATAAAGAAAAAAATGTTTTTAAAACTCATAATAATAAGAAACCATGTGGTCCTCAATACAGAAAACGTAAAGCAGAGTTGATAAAAAGTTGATAATTTGAAGAAAATTATAAAAAACCTGAAAATTTTTTTACATCGGAAAATAGTGATTGTAATAAAATAAAGGAAGGAGAAAATGTTGCGCATGTACTTAGTGATACATCAACCAGCGATAAAGAAGACGGAATAGTGTCAGTTGGAAATGTTCACTACGATGAAAAAGATATCGATAACGAAAATGATGATGGCCAAGATGGTGATGTAAATGGTCGCACCAAAGAAACAGCACTCGATTACTTAGACTGTGCTTTGTGGCCAATTCATCGCAACATTCAATTTGTTGATTATATAATTAATATAGGTGCAATACAAGTGAATTTGGACACATATCCACGCAATAATAGAAGACGACATTTTTCAAATGCTTATTACAACCGAAAACTTTCAAATGGTGAGGTTATTTCACGACGTTGTCTTGTGTACTCAGTTTCTAAAGATGCGGTATTTTGTTTTTGCTGCAAACTTTTTGATTTCAACATGAATTTAAAGTTAAAAAGGAAATGGATTCAATATATGGAAGAATTTAACAGAAGCATTAAAAATTCACGAAAATAGTAAGTGACACAGAATTGCTTATCAACTATGGATTGAGACAGAAATACGAATGAAAGCTGGTGAAACTATTGATAAACAAGAACAAAAACTAATCGAAAAGGACAGTTTAAGGTGGCGAAGCGTTCTTGAACGATTGATGAACATTACTTTATACTTGGCAACAAATAATATGACCTTCAGAGGTTCTTCTGATAAATTGTATTCAGTTAATAACGGCAAATTCTTAGGATTGGTTCAATTGCTCGCTAAATTTGATCCTTTCATGTTAAACCACGTCACGCTAGCTTATAAAGGAGATATTTCTGATCATTACTGTGGAAAAACCATTCAAAATAAAATGATAGATATAATGGCATCAAAAGTAACCAACATAATTATATCCAAAGCTCTAAAAAGTACATATTATTCTATTATTGCTGACTGCACTCCTGACGTATCTCACAAAGAACAGCTCTCGCTTACGATTAGAATTGTAAATATATCAGAATATCCTATAAAAATAAATGAACACTTTCTTGGGTTTTTCAATGTTAACGACACGACAGGTCTTGGTTTAACAGAAATCATAATTGGAGCTTTAAAAGATTTTGGACTGAATATAAGCTTTTGTCGAGGGCAAGGTTACGATAACGGTGCAAATATGAAAGGTAAAAAATAGGTCTATCAAAGCGAATATTAGATTTGAATTCTTTGGCTTTTTACCTTCCATTTAGAAGTCATTCTCTCAATTTGGTTATTTGTGACGCAGCGCAGTCTTCACTAAATTCTATTAACGTTTTTGGCATAATACAAAGATTATTCATAATATTTTCTGCATCAACTTCACGCTGGAATGTTTTACTTAGTCATACAACAAACTTTACTCTTGAAAGATTATGCGAGACTCGTTGGGAAGCCAAAATTGAGAGACTCAAAGCCATCCGTTACCAAATAAGCAGCGTACATGATGCTTTAATTGCTATATATGAAACTGAAACCAAAACTCCCGATATTGCACACGAAGCGCAAACATTAGCAGAACAATTAAAAGACTATAGTTTTTTAGTTTCTTTAATTGCATGGTACAATATACTATTCCAAATAAACGTTGTTAGTAAAGCAATGCAAGCCAAAGACATGGATCTAAACAGTGCGCTGAAATGTTGAAAAAATGCATCACATTTTTGGAAAATTACAGAACGTTTGACTTTAATCAAGCAACGGTTGATGCCAAAGAGTTAGCTGAAGAGTTGAACATCGATGCAATATTTAAGCCGCTTAAAAGAGTGCGACGAGTGAAACGTCATTATGATGAAAATGCTTTTTACGAAACAATTCAAAATCCCGAGAAGAAACTTGAAGTGACATTTTTTAACCCTTTATTAGATACATGTCTGTCGTCAATAAATAAAAGATTTGAACAACTTAATGAATATGTAAATATATGGAGTTTTTTATTTAATTTGGATAATTTGCCCATCAAGAATGAACTTTTAAAATTGTGTAATTAAAACTTTTGTTTTAATTACACAATTTTAAAAGTTCATTCTTGATGATTTTGTATTTAGATTTTGTATTTACAGTTAATTTTTCTTGTAATTAAAATTACAAGAAAAATTAACTGTAAATACAAAATCAGAAATTGATGGTGCTTTGCTATGCGACAAACTAATAAGTGTGCAGTTTTTTATAAAAATTAAGCAATTTTGAAAATGAAATAAATACAAAAGAGATGACACCACTTTTTGTACTGAATCTTATTAAAAAACATTGTCTACAAGAGTTATTTTCAAATACATGGATTGTTCTGCGCATTCTTCTTACAATACCTGTTACTGTTTCTGGTGGAGAACGTAATCTTTCTAAACTGAAGTTAATCAAAACATATTTAAGAAATACCATGTTGCAAAATCGACTTAATTCTCTACCTATGTTATCAATTGAGCAAGATATAGCTGAAAATTTAAATTTTTCTAGTTTGATAAGAGATTTCGCAGACAAAAAAGCTAGAAAAGTTAGATTTTAAAATTTAATAACTTTTGTTTATATAGTTAGAGGATTTATTATATGTTTAATAAAAACATTTGATATTTTTAAAGCAGCGTTGCGTTGTCTATTTATTTAGTCACTCATTTCTATAAATCCATATCATGAAAAGTCTAAGTTTATAATTTTAATAAAAAATTAATTAAATAAGAAACTTGATGCACAATATGGATCTCTTTGCATTAAACCATATATTCCCTTTAGCACTCTTGTTCATCATTTTAGAGCATTGGTCTCGTTTTTAATGGTAACAACCCACCCATATATACCGGGGCGCGTTCACAAGTTTTGCCCAACCTATCAAAAAAGCTAAGGCCGGCGCTGTATCAAAGTAAGGAGAGTCAGGTCCATTAAAAATAAATCTTTTGTTAGAAAATCATTAGCCATGACAAAAAAAGAATTAAATCAAAATTTTTTTTAATAGAATTTGATTTGCGTAAAGTTATTTTTGAAAGCACGTATTTTTAAAATCTCGACTAAAAATTTTATCATTTTTTAAAATGGCGTCTTTACCTTCTCTACGTAATTTTTCACTTCTTCCCAAAGCTTCCTTCGATGTTCGATAGTTTCTTGGGCAAAATCTTCGTTTATGTAAATGCCAGTTCCTTTAAGATGTTTTAATGAGTTGAGTATTTTGCTTTTGTCGTGAAAGTTTAGGAGTTTTAAAACTATTGTTCTTGGTTTGTTATTTTTTTTTAGTAATAGAATCATCGTAATAGAAAGAGCACATCGCATCGGTCACCGATGCGATGTGCTCTTTCTATTGCGATTTTATTTGATATTTTTAATTAACTATTAAAGAATTTTTTTTACCTCTTTTTCACAATCGTCCCAGCTTTATAAGTTTACTATAATTAGGTTTACCAAAGTTTAATGGTATTAAGGGTTTTTGTAACTATTTACATTTCATCATTTGTTGTCATTTATTACAACAACCGATGTTTTAGGAAACAACTTTTGTGAATTTATTCCATGGCCATTTATGGCCAAAGCCACCTGACAAACCAAATTGTCTGGTTTACGGTAATTAGTATGATTTCTATAATAATATTGTTAAGGTTAAAACTGAAGCTGAAAATATAAAAAGTGCAATTTGCAAAGTTTTCAGAGTTATTTTATAAATAAGCAAAAAAATATATAAACACCTGCATTAAAAAAATTACATCACATAGGCATGTGACGTAATTTTTCTGAACCAATGTTGATCGAAAATTGTTATGTTAACAAAAAATAATTTAACTTGACAATGTTGCAGGTTGTAATAACATATATATCAGGGTAAAAGTTAGGCACTTCGATCAAAATTTCAAACTGAACTTTATGTTAAAAAAATTACCAAGATAAATAGAACCTAATATTATCTTTCAAAAGATGGTTTTATTATTATTATATCATGAAAAGAAAAAAAGTTATTCATTTTTAAAGAACCAAAACAAAAATCGTTAATGGTATTAAAATTGAAAAAAAAAACGCGCTTTTAAAAACAAGGTACTAGGTAAAATGCGAACGGCGAACCGCGAACTGCGAACTGGTAAAATGCGAACTTTTTAGCGAACCATCGTCTTATTGGTTAAATAATGATGTAATGTTTTATTTCCGTAAAATATAATGTTTTGGTTCGCAAAAAAGTTCGCATTTTACCGGTTCGCAGATCGCATTTTACCTAAAAACAACGTTAAAAAAAACACGTTTGCTTAAATTTTTGAGAAGCGTGATTTCAAAATGTGTACAAAATGATTTAAAGTTAAGAAGAAACAAACTTCTGAACTTTCTTGGGGTTAAACTTTGAATTTAAGGCAAGATCATATTCAAAATCTTTACCTCTTTGATTCACTTTTTTTTTAAAAACCTTGTTTAACTATTTTGCAAGTAAACAATTGTCTCTGAATTTCTGCCTTCGACATTCAAACCAAACGTTTCTTTTTTCTTTAGACAGCGCTTTCAATTCTCTATTAATCCAGAGAGGTTTTGTGTTGATTTGAATGCTTCCCGATTTTATGATTAGAATAAAGAGTTTACATCCTTCTTCATAAAGGCTTAACCATTTTTCATAACATTTGTTTATTTCTAAACCTTTGAATTCATTGTCCCAGTTTAAGAATTTTAAATTATTATTTAATTAATCAAATTTCCCTCAATTAAAATTAAATTTTTCTTTTATAAGTACAATGTTGTCAATACACTCTTCATGACTGTAGTTAAATTTAATAATGTGATGACCGTGATTAATACCTCCCAATGGTGGAAGGTGTACCAGTTTATAAACTCTATTTTTATTCTCAGCTATAATCAAATCCAGTACATTCGTTTCATTCCCAATGTTATTTTGAAACGTTGGTTTAATCACATTCTGATGCATGAAACAATTGTTTAAACATTCTAAGAAATTTTTGGCTGGTGTATCAGTCTCACTAGTTAGCGTGCCAAAGTAATCTTCTGTCCACTTGATTGCGTTGAAATTAAAATCCCCACAAATAAGGATTGCAGTATATTTATTTAATAAATTCATTGAATGAGCAAAATTAATTGACTTTGTGATGTTGATACAGTTACTTATGTTATTAATTCCGGTTTTGTACATACTGCCACATAATACTTTTTCACTTCCTAATTCAATAACGCACCTAATCTGTTCTATATTATATATGTATATATTTTATTTGCCGACTAACTGTTTGAACTACCGACTACCCTATATCTGTTTGATTTACATTTGTTCTGACTACTACTATACTGACTAGAATTTCTTACTGACATTGTTTTTGGATTTTTGAGTTTTCTAGCTTCTTTTATTATAGTATACCCCAAAGCATTTTATAAAGTGCTTTTTAACATTGTTTCAAACTATATGGTCACTGATTCGGAAAAAGAGTGTTTTTGTTTCTCAACCTTTTAAAAGGTATCAATTTGTATTTTTTTTTATGTTTATCAATGTTTATTTATGTGTCTAATATGTCTACCAGTTACATGTTGTTTGTTGAAACTATTTCATAGAATGTTTTAACCATCTATATCTCTTATATTTGTTAAACAAAAAAACCTATATCTCTTATATTTGTTAAACAGTTTTTTTAATTCTCTAATATATATATATATATATATATATATATATATATATATATATATATATATATATATATATATATATATATATATATATATATTTATATGTATATATATATATATATATATATATATATATATATATATATATATATATATGTATATATATATATATATATATATATATATATATATATGTATATATATATATATATGTATATATATATATATATATATATGTTGGTTTTTATTGATTAAATTATTTTCTACTAAATGTTTCATCATATTATCTTTAATTATTTTTTCCATGACTTTACAAACTTTTGTAAATATTAAAAGTTGTGTGACCAACTAAATGGAATCTCTAGATTTTATTACAAGTTCAATTGATAATGGTTTGGATGTAATAGTTTTGTTTCTGGACTTAGCCAAAGCGTTTGATTCAGTTGATCACGAAAGATTATTGTTAAAATTGAATGCTCTTGGTTTTAAATCAAAACTATTTGACTGGTGCCAGGGATTTTTAAAGAACAGACTTCAAAGAGTAGTGATAGGAAATAATAAATCAGAATGGGAAGAGTTCATGAGTGGAGTACCACATGGATCAGTGCATGGACCACTATTATTTGTAGTGTGTATTAATGATATCTCCAACAAAATAAAATCAAGCTGTAAACTATTTGCTGACGACATAAATATCCTTAGAGCAATAAAAAATGATAATGATGTTATTGAACTTCAATAAGATTTAGACTTATTAAATGAATGGTCGAATGAGTGGTTGATGAAATTCAACCAGCAAAAATGTAAGGTTATGATAATAGGAAAATACTAGCACAAAGTTTTAATGAATAATACAGCATTAGCCTACACAAGCATGGAAAAGGATTTAGGAGTGTTTATTTCAGATGATTTGGAATGGAAACACCATGTAATAAAGCAGTAAATAAAGCAAATCAAAATTTAGGTCAGATCAAACACACTTTTAAATATTTAGACGAAAAAACAATAAAACTCTTAAACTCTTATAAACTCTTGTTTATAGCCTTAGTACATCC